CGTCACAAACTCCATCGGTGATTATAATACGTGTGATTCATTACATTAAGCCCATGCCGGCTACACCAGTTAAAGCCCACTAAGCTATTGGCTATTTTTCAGAAGCGTGATGAAAGCTAAAGCCGTAGCCATGGACTCAACATTGTGGGGGGGGGGGGGGGGGGGGGGGGGGGCGGCAAATCTTTCAGGGTGTCTGGGGATCCCAACCCAGAAAAATATCGAATTTTGAAAACTAATTTCATGCCTAAATATTAAAAAAAAATTCACTAACACGTGGGATGGCCGTTTTATTTATTTTGTACAATAATGTCTAATAGTGTATTGTATTACATTGCTCTGTTTTAACTTTTTTTACCATTTCTTGTTTCATTGTATGCAATGGCAGAGATTAGGGATTAATAAAGTACAACCATACCCACAATCATACAAACAGAAATCTATGCATTGATTTACATAGCAATTATTTTATAGCAATATATTGGGGGGGGGGGGGGGGGGGACATTTTGAGCATATTTGAATATTTGCATATTGGGGGGGGGTGTATTGGGGGGGGTGTGTCCCCCCCCCAATACATATTATTATTATGGCCTTGATGAAAGCTCATCGCAGTGGCTGCTATCATCACCATCACCACCACCACCGCACGTGGAGATGATGTATCGTAGCAGCCGAATCGTCTGCCCGCGTGTTGTTTCTAAATATGGAGGTGGGGGGGGAGTCAAAAGACTGAGGAACCCGGAGAGCGATCCACGCGGACTCTGAATATAGAACAGGCATCGCCAGGGTCCGGGATCGAACCCACGGACTCGGTGCGTGCCAAGCGAGACTTTCAATATCAGACAGAAGCATCCCTGTTGGTACCGTGTACATCGACACGAGCCGAGTTAAAATTTCCTCGCAACACTCCCCGCTCCACCTACCCCACCAACTTTCATTCGCCCCCCCACCCGCTCCACCCACCCCCCACCACCTGCTCCACCCACCAGTCACCACCCGCTGCACCCACCTCCCCCACCCACCGTATTTGAGGAGTGTCGTGTGCGCACTGCTCGGTAATGCCGATGTTGCACTCCAGAAGTGAGGGGTGGCTCGCCAAGCGCTGCACGTTCGCTGCAAACCACAACTCGTACAGCACTGGCGCCGGCGTGGTGCTGGCGTATTTGGCACGCCGGATCTGCACTGTGGAGGCAGCGGAGGGTTGGTATTAGAACCGCACCCACGCTGTGAGGCTTCCCTTTTCTTGTGGGTGTCGAGGCCGTTTCTACCTCTGGCTCGCCAGGGCACGCACGGTGCAGCTCAAATGTGCACCTCCACCCGTTCCATTTGTACGGGGATAGAGTGTTTCCCCCTCGCTCAAACGCGTGGGTTCTCGCTCCATGCGTGCTCCGGTTGGCTCCGTGTGAGCGCTCATTAATTGGTCGATGAAACCTACGTATAATGCGTAATTATAGGACCACAGAGCTTGGAAACCGGTAGAGACGGTGGGAGGCCTGGGTAAAGTGCTTTCGATTCGACCTCCCGGCACACGGCGGATATGCTCAAGGCCATGGAACGAAACCCCTCACTGCGACAATTTTTTATTTTATTTTACCACGTAAGGCCCACTGAGCTATGTAGCTCTTTTTCAGAAGCGACCTGGCCATCACAAATGATAGCTCAACGAAGTGGCTTATCATCATGTGGAAATTGATAGCAGTCAGCCAATACTCTAAATGCGTGTTTCTAAATGTGGACGGGAAAAACCGGAGGACCCGGAGCAAAATGCACGGGGAGAGAGACGCCACGACGACGACCTGTATACCAGGCGAGGTAGTTTACATCTCATAGCCACCGTGGTGATGATGAGAGAGACACCACGACCTCCTGTAGACCAGGCGAGGTAGTTAACATCTCCTAGCCACCGTCACCTCAAAACTCCCAGAATTGAAAGGCGGGCAAAAGCAGCAGGTTGTCATCAAAAGGGTAATTAGTTTATTTACAAATTGCACATCCACCGATAAACAATCCTGGGGGGAAGCGTACCCACCCACACGTGTGGGGGGGGGGGGGGGGGGTGGAAGAAACGAAAAGGAATTCACAGGGAGTGAGAGACGGAGAGAGGAACCATTTCCTTACTCGGATCGGCAATCACAAGACAATCCGGTGCCCGCGTGTCGGATTTTTGCGACCCTTGCAGCCAGGTGGTGGAGATTCCACATTTTTGGATCGTGGCGAGCGGTGGCGGCGGTGTGTGGATCCACAGGGCAAAACAACCACCGACAAACCGGTTCTCGATTTATCCACCGGAGAAGATAGATGATGATGGGGCCCGATTCAATCGACCCCACGCACACCGCGATAAGAACCGGCAACCGCTCGCTCTGACCCCTTGAGCCACCTGACCCTGGGGTCAACCTGCAGCATCATATACTGGACCTTGAGTGATAAAAAATATATTATATGATTATTATGAGTGTCCGTTTCTATTACATATTGAGCACACAACAGGACATACGACCGCTTCTTATACGCTTGGGGATAGTAGTGCAACGCGAACATTTGTTGTCGACATTGAAATCGCCACGTGGGAAGCGGTATAACTCGCACACGGGGTAAGCGGAGATTAACTCGTCACGATGGAGTTCCCCCCCACCCCAAGCTCGCGTGTCGCTTGGGGTGCCGCGAATGGCTGACGAACCCACGGAACGGATCATGTGTAGCAAAGGTCTCAGGAGAAGGTGGGACGCTTTCACGCACTCGTGATCCGAAATGAATGACACTTCGCTTTTGGGGTTCTCACACTCTGGAAAATCAGCCACTGAAGCCGTCTGTTCGTCCGTCCGTCCGCCCCGAATGCGTGTAACGGAGGGCCATGGCAACTCTGGTAACGCTGACCCAAAATGAACGAAACTTCTGGGTAAGGTTGCGTTGCTATGAGGGTTCTCACACACACACTGCCCCCCTCTTTTTCTCACACACCCCCCCTTTTTCCGCATTCTTTATTTTCCCTGCGGAGACGGCGCACGGCGCCCGCACTGCTCCGATCACCGGACCTCGCGACAATTCATCTGCCCCCCCAACCCCCCACTGCCGGCGGTTTCGATAAATAAAAACCCGCGGCTCGCGACATCTCCCGACCTGCCATCTCGTCGTCCCGGGTCTCAAGCCGCTCGCTTGGCCGTCGTCCCCGTCCACTTTGGGCGGCTTCCATCGCAGCTGCCGCCGACGCCTTAACCCCCCCCCCCCCCCCCCCCCGGGAGCCCCGAGCACACCGACGTTTCGTCACTTGAGATCGTCGAATTCTCAGTTGCGGGCGCGTCGTCGTCTTTGTTTCTGTCACGAGCGCGCGAGGAGCGGGCGGACCGCTCCTCGCCTGCCACGCTCGCCCACGTGGCGCTCTCCTCCAACGTGCGGGCCAAGGGTCGATCCCGGTCAGCGACCCGCGAATATGAATAGATTTCCACCGCCAGCAACACCACTTACAGTACCTCTCTGCGAGTCGTGTCCTTGCTCAAATAGCCATTGGCGATCGCGTGGCCCTCCTTCCATTCAGCTCTGGCCGTGGTATTTACCGAACGCAACTCTGCGTTGGGCACACACCCCGTCTCCCTGCTGTGATTGTCCCACCTGACGGTCGCTTGTGTTGCGATCCTAACGTCGTGATCTATTATTTTCTACCTACGTGACTTTACCGGAAGACCCAAAGAGTAGACACCCCGTAGTACACCTCTCGCCAAGGGAACGGATACCAGTCGCCTGGTCGCAACGCCACCGACGGCGGCCCCCCCCCCCCCCCCCAACGGAATCAACATCCCGCGAGAGAAATGAAGCCCTGGCCAGAGCCGCGTGCCCGTGTCCTATGGAGGCGCCGACGTCCGTGGCGTTTGCGCCGATCCGGCCAAGCGACATACACAGCGTGGTGTAAATGGCAACACAGCGGAACGACGGAGCGCCGTGTCACGGACAGTGAGCGTGCGCGTACGTGTCTCCGTACGTAGAGTGTGTGCGTGCGTGTGTGTGCCTACGTGCGTGCGCGCGGTAGTGTAGCGGTTAGCGCGCTGCGTGCTGAACCTGGCGACCCGGGTCCGGTTCCCGCTCATGGCCAACACCAGTGACGATTATCTGAACCGGTCCCGGGCCTCCCCTAGGTCGACTCAGCCTCAAATGAGTACCTGGTGCGGTGTGTAAACATCGCCACTGGGGAGACAAAGGCGGTCGGGCGTGGTGCTGGCCACCCACCCCCTTGTGTACCGTTCCGGCCTTCATAGGTGCTCGCTAACAGTACTTGCCCCTACAGTCTGTTAAGGCTACACGGGGGATCTTTATCTTTGTGAGCAAATGCAGCAAGTTGGCACAGTAGGCGGTACAGCTGGTGGTGCATCGACCGGTCATCTTAGTCAGCCGGCCCACGGCACCTGCTGAGTTTGTCCCGTGACCTCATCCTGTCAGAGAGCCTTCGACACTTCACGTGGCCTCACGTACACATGCATGTAGGCACACCATTCGCTACTAAGTGACGGTGACGTCACCATTGCACCTAGCCTGGCACAGGCGCAATGGTGACGTCACCGTCACTTAGTAGCGAATGGTGTGCCTACATGCATGTGTACGTGATTTCGGCCGTTTGCGTGTGCGTGCGTGTGTACGTGCGTGTTCGTCAGGCCCAGCAGGAGTGCGACGCTCACGAAACGAACGTTTATTCCGGGGCAGGGATTTCTGCCGGCACCGCTACCGCTGCACCGGCACCGCTACCGCTGCACCGCTACCGCACGCTGCAACCGCACGCGGGCAACGAACTCTCGGCCACGGCGCTTCGACGAGAAGGAAGAAAAAAAGATCAACTTGCAGCCAAACTAAACAATACTCGAAGGGCACAAATTATTTCGCCCATTAAATAAATAGAAAAATAGTGCGGAATGCTTTAGTGCAGCGTGGTTTTTTTTCAGAGTTGCAATAAATTAAGGAAGTAAAAAAGCCGCGTTTCCCCCCCCCCCCCCCCCCGGAGCGCCGTCTCGCCACGCTAGCGCCGTTCCCCGGCGCCGTCGCCTTCCCCGCGGCGACCGGCGCCACCCCCGGCCTCCTCCATCGCCAGCGCCGGCTCCACGCACGAGGCCCGCGCGTCCACGTGGAACCTGTGCGGCAGCGCCGCTTTCCCGCGCTCCGCGGAATCGCCGCCGCCGCCGCCGCCGCCGCCGCCGTGCCCGTCGGGCGACCGCAGGAACTCGCCGGCGTGCCGCCTCGACCCGCGGCCGCGCGCCGGCCTCGTCCGTGCCGCCGCCGCCGCCGCCGCCGCCGCCGCCCGCCCGTCCGCCGGCTCGCAGCGTTGCCCGCGGATCCAGCGCAGCTGCCCGTGCTTGTAGGCGAAGCGCGTGTCGCCGAACCAGCGCACGATGTCGGAGCGCGGCAGGCCCGTCCGCGCCACCAGCGCGACGTACGCCTCCGGCGTGGGCCACTGCGTCTGCCCGAAGACCGCCTTGAGCACCGACAGCTGTTCTTTGGTCTTCTTGGGACGCCGCACGCTCGGCTTCACCACGGCCGTCCTCCTGCCCGGCGCGTCGAGGAGGCCGGGGCTGCCCGGCCGCCGGTGGCGCTCGGGCCCCGAGCGCGGCTCGGGCGACGGCGGCGGCGGCGGCGTGAACTCGCGGCTGCGTGGTCGGTCCGTCGGCGTGGCGTTTGCGGCGAGCGTGCCGTGTGCCGCGTGTGTGCCGTGTGCACTGACGCGCGAGGCGTGCGCTTCGTGTGCGCCGGTATGTGTGGTGTGCGCAGAGTGCACGGAGTGTGGAGAGTGTGTGAAGTGTGTGGAGTGTTCTGAGTGTGTGGAGTGTGTGAAGTGTGCGGAGTGTGTGAAGTGTGTGAAGTGTGCGGAGTGTGTGAAGTGTGAGTATTTAGACTGTGCGGTGTGTGCAATGAGTGCGGCACGCACGGTGTGCGCCGTGTGGTCAGCGTATGCGGCGTGTGCAGGGGGTGCGCTGCACCCACCCCGCAGGCCCGCTCTGATCTCGCCGCTCAGCGAGGGCTTCACGTGCTCGTAGTTGCCGCCGTCGCGAGGGATTTTTATCTTGGCGATCAGGCGGCCCCGCGGCTCGGGGTGCGGCCCGCCGGCCGGCCGGGCGCCGTCGAGCGCCGGCGGGCGAGGCCGGGCGCCGACGCGAGCTGGCTCGTCTCCGTAGAAACCGCTCACCTCCTCGTCCGCATCCGCCGCCTCCCCCGCCGCTCGCTCGCCGGCGCCGCCCGGCTCCGAACGGTCCCCTCGGCGCCCGTCCGCCGCCGCCTCCTCGTACTCGGCGGCGGCGGCGGCGGCCGTGACCGCGGCGGCGCCGGCGGCCTTCGCTTCCGCGCCGGCGCCCCCCCCCTCCTCTCCGGGCGGGCGGTGCCGCGCCTTGGCCGCGCGGTTGAGCGAGTCCACGATGCTCATCCTGCCCACGAACTCCAGGGGGCACATGGTCGGCAGGTTCCGATGGAAGAACCGCGCCGCGGACGGCCGCCGCGGCCCGGCGCGGCCGCCGGCGCCGTCGCCGCCGTCGCGCCGGCGGTAGCGGCCGTCGCTGAACCACTTCTTGACCTCGGAGCGGCCCAGCCCGGTGGCGCCCACGAGGCGCCGCAGCTCGCCCTCGTCCGGGTGGCGGTTGCGCGCGAAGCTGCGCTTGAGCCGCGCCAGCTGCTCCTTGCTCTTCTTGTGCTTCCCACGAGGGCCCCGGCACGGCGACGGCAACGCCGGCGCGTCGCAAGGGGGAGCGAGATCCGGCGGCGGCGGCGGCGGCGGCGACGACGAGGAGGAAGAGGAGGAGGCCGACGGCGCCGTCGACGGAGAGGGCGACCGGACGGACGACGCGGTGAGGGTGAGCGCCAAGGGCGAGGAGGAGGAGGAAGAGGAGGAAGACTCGTGCGCTCGCGCCGCCGAAACGTCCGGCGACGGGGCGGGAAGCTCGACGGGCGTGACGGCGGCGGCTTGATCCACGACGAGCGCCGACGGCGGCCGGCCCTCGCCCGTGGCCGGCTGCTTGGAGGCAGCAACGTCCGGCTGCAACACGGCGAAGGGAGACACGGGGTCTGTCGAGTGCGCGTCGGTGTGTGTGTGTGAGATGCGTATGCACGTGGATGTGTGTGTGTGTGATGCGTATGCCCGTGAGTGTGTGTGTGTGCGAGATGCGTATGCACGTGGATGTGTGTGTGTGATGTGTATGCACGTGGGTGTGTGTGATGCGTATGCACGTAGATGTGTGTAATGCGTATGCACGTGGGTGTGTGTGTGTGTGATGCGTATGCACGTGGGTTAGTGTGATGCGTATGCACGTGGGTGTGTGTGTGTGATGCGTATGCACGTGGGTGTGTGTGATGCGTATGCACGTGGGTGTGTGTGTGTGTGAGATGCGTATGCAAGTGGATGTGTGTGTGTGCGATGCGTATGCACGTGGGTGTGTGTGATGCGTATGCACGTGTGTGTGTGTGTGATGCGTATGCACGTGGGTTAGTGTGATGCGTATGCACGTGGGTGTGTGTGACGCGTATGCACGTGGGTGTGTGACAGTGGCGAATATTTGCATTGGTCCTGGGCCTCCCCTAGGTCGACTCGGGAGACAAAGGCGGCCGTGCGTGGAGCCTGCCACCCGCCCCGTCTTCCCGAGTGCTGCTCGCGAACAGCAGTTGGCACCCCAATGCCGCCGTGCGCTGCCAGCGACCTGAACGAGATTCTCCCGGCCACGGCTGACGCCGGCTAACAAGGGACTGCTGCACCGGGGGGGGGTAGTAGGCTCACTCGCGCGGTGCGGTCAGCTCCCCCGTTATCCGGGGACAGTGGGGGGGTGGGCAAGGCGGGGGTTGTGGTGGTGGGGGGGGGGGGGTGAAAGTTCGGCTCAGTTGAAACAAATCCCGGATAATGCAAACCGACGACGGTGAATTACAACTCGAAGAAGAACATCCACACTCTCTTAATAAGCAGGCCGGTCAAAACTCGATCCCACCTCGACCCCGCACAGACGGGGGGAGGCGGGGGGGCATCGACAAAAGGACACCCCCCTCCCCTCCCCTCCGAGCCATCTGTCGTCATCGTCGGGGTCACCGCCAGTACCGGCGGCGGCCACGAGGGGAGGATGCAGGGCTGACGATCGTCAGCGACACGTTTCCGAAAGCCAGCGGTGAGCCGTGGCCCCTGCTGTGCAATTCCTGGTAGCCCCGAATATTTTTTTTGCGTGGGCCCCCCCGCCCCCCCACCAAGAGCAAATAGTCGCTGAATATTTGCACCCTCAACCCCCACTCCCCACAACGCCACGGCCACCAGTGGGTAGTCCCCACCAACAGAGCCAACACCACGCCCGGCCGCCTTCGTCTCCAGAGTGGCGATGTTTCCACACCGCACCCGGTACTCATTTGAGGCCGAGTCGACCTAGGGGAGGCCCAGGACCGGTTCAGATAATCGCCATCGTTGTCGGCCGTGAGCGGGAATCGAACCCGGGTCGCCGGGTTCATAGCGTCTGTGCGGCGGCGTAGCGCTAACCGCTACGCCGCCGCACAGACACGCCCGCAGTGTCGGCTCCGTCCGCACCTGCGCGCCGGGGCCATCGTGCGTCTCCGCCCCGGGGCCGCTCATCAGCAGCGTGGCCATGGTGCTCGCCACCAGCCTCCTGCGGCGCTCCTCGATCTCGCCGGGCGACCAGCTGATGGCGCGCGCCGCCCGCCGCGCCGCGAACCACCCGCGCAGGCGCCCCTCGGCGAACGGCGTCACCGACGCCAGCCACGCGATGTCCCCGCTCGACGGGTACGGGAAGCGCGCGAACGCCGCCAGCAGGTGCCGGTCGCCGTCCATGCGCCCGGCGTCGTCCGTCGCCGGAGCCGCCCCCTCCGCCACGTCGTCGTCGTCGGCCGTCGCCGCCGGCCGCTCGCCGGCGGCGGCCGCCGTCGTGGCGTCGTCCTCGGCGGCTCCCCCACCGCGGGCCCGCCCGGCGGCCGGAGCGCCGTCGAACGCGGCGCTCGCGAACGCCGGGTCGCCCTGCGCGATCTTCGACGCGTTGAGGACGATGTGCGGCAGCGCGGGGTTAAAGATCTGCAGGCCGCCCGCGCGGTCCTCCTGCCGCCGTTGGTGCTGCCGCGACCGCGGCACCGCCGCCGCCGCCGCCGCCGTCTTGGCCGCCGGCTCCCGCGCGGCCGCCCCGTTCTCCGCCGCCGCGTCCGTCAAACGCCGCCGGGGTTCGGCGCCGTTCGGCTTTTCGAACGGCGGCCGGGGCGAGCGGCGAGCGGAGAGCCCGGAGGGGTTCGGCACGGCGCCGCCCTCGGCGTCGTCGCTCGGCTGAGCGACCGCGGGGGTTGCCGGGGACGTCTCCGCGGAACGGCGTCTGCGGTCGTCTCCGTCGTCGCCGCCGCCGCCGCCGACGTCCAACGCTCGCCCCACGGGGCTCTGCTCCAACACGGTCCGGTCGGGCATCTTGGTGATCCTCAGCTTCATGCGGCCGAGGCTGCGGTGGCGGCGGCGGTTGTGCGCGTCGAACTCGCTGCGCAGGGACGAGCGGAAGCGGCACGCGCGGCACACGTACAGCGGGTTGGCGAGCACGCCCGGGTGGGCCGCGTCCACGTGCGCGCTGAACACCGCCAGGTCGCGCGTCGCCAGGTGGCAGTGCCGGCACTCGTACCGCCGCTCTGCCGCCGGGACGCCGACGCCGTCCTTGCGGCTGAGGTCCTGCGGCGAATCGACGTCGCCGCCCCCCTCCTCCTCCTCCTCCTCCTCCCCGCCGCCTGGCCTCACGGGGGAGGGCCCAGCGGAGGCCCGGGACGACTCTTCTCCGGGCTGCCGGGTCGGCGGCGGCGGCGGCAGAAGCGACGAGGCGGGGTCAGAGCCGTGGGGGTGCCGTGCGGGCGGGGGGTCGAGGGTCGCCACCGGTGGGCGAACGTCGCGGCTTTGCTGCATGTCCGCTGGGCGCGGTGCCGGGAAGGTCACGGGAGGTCGGGGGTCATTGGTGGGTGCCCGGGCACGCCGCCATCGCCGTTGACGGTGGAGGTGGTGGAAGTGGTGGCGGAGGGGCGTGGGCGCGTCATGAACGAGGCCCTCGCCGAGCCGAACCGGCGCCGACGCCTGCTTTTGGTGACGCTGTCCAAACGGCGTTGGCGGCGGTGCCGAATCCCAAGTCCCCGCTGCCGTCACGATTCGGCGAGCACCGAATCGACAGATTTCACTTCAGGGCGTCCTCACCGTGTCCTGTGAAGTTGGAGATAAAGGGGGGAAATAAAACCCACGGGCAAGAGAAACAACGAACGCGTCACGTCCATTTCGCTTTCAAAAACCGCATGCCCGGCTACGCGTCGAGCGAGCTTCGAGTTGTCTCCGGTCATTACATTTTTGTTGTTGTATAAAAGTAACATTTATATTATTATAACGCTGCTGCACTGCACGGTCTTTCCTATCCGTGGGTGGAAAGAAAGCAGCCCTAGCAGAGGGGGACCCAGCTGGAGAAGAGTGCTGCCCGTCGGGCAGGGGAGGGGTAGGGGGGGGGGCGGAACGATGGCGATCGCCGCCCCTCACGGTGTCCGCTAACCCCCCCGGGGCGCGGCTCACGAGCTCTGCACTTTTTTATTATCCTTCTCCCCCCCCACCGCCCCCACCCCCGGCACCTCTTCTTCGCACGTTTGGTTACATACGGTGCGAAAGAAGTTCAACATACAAACATACATACAGACTCACACACAGAGCCATAGACTCACACAGAGAGCCATAGACTCACACAGAGAGCCATAGACTCACACAGAGAGCCATAGACTCACACAGAGAGCCATAGACTCACACAGAGAGCCATAGACTCACACAGAGAGCCATAGACTCACACAGAGCCCCATATACTCACACAGAGACCCAGATTCACACAGAGACCCAGACTCACACATAGACCCAGAGACTCACACAGAGAGCGATAGACTCACACAGAGAGCCATAGACTCACACAGAGAGCCATAGACTCACACAGAGAGCCATAGACTCACACAGAGAGCCATAGACTCACACAGAGAGCCACTCACACAGAGACCCATATACTCACACAGAGACCCAGATTCACACAGAGACCCAGATTCACACAGAGAGCGATAGACTCACACAGAGAGCCATAGACTCACATAGAGACCCATAGACTCACACAGAGATATCAAACTCACACAGAGAACCAGAGACTCACATAGAGACCCGTAGTTTGTTGACCTTCCCCTGCACCTCCGATTCGCATGGTTGGCTACGTACGGTGGTACGAAAGAAGTTAAATGTATGCACATTCATAGAGACTTGTATAGACATCAATAGACTCGCATAGTCTCATAGACAAACAGAGGCCCATAGACTCACATATAGAGCCATAGATTTGTACAGAGACCAATTAGATTCGCGCAGACTAAATAGCGATTATACCGGAATCTCGAGTGCAGTGATTTAATGGTCTCAGCCCGGTCACCACTAATGGCTGCACAGAAAATAAATAAACCCATCGGATTATAAATTTGGTTCCGCACTTAAGTTTGGCTCAGTTTCAACTCCGAGCACGAGAACATTGGTTTGAGCGTCACGTGACGAATCTGTCAAGACGGCAGAGGGGGCGAGCGAAGTGCTCCCGCCTCTGCTGTGCGTGGGGACCAGAGCGTCATGAGGAGGCGGAGAAGGGAATCTCAGTGGTAGCTCTGTGATATCCGCTTCTGCGGGCCGTTCTCTAAGAACACGGAGGGCAGCGCCGCTCTGCGAGAGACAGCAATGGATTCGTTGTCTCGTGCGCGCAACACGACGCCGACAGCGCGGTTAAGCTACGGTAAAAAATAAAAATTTAAATACCTGACGACAAAATTATCCAACTATACGGATGGATAATTAACGAAAGCAACGGTAGTTATTGCGCAGGCAAGTGAGTCGGCAAAATCGCCGAGCAGTAAATAAAAGAGGCTAATCAATGATAACAAAAAAAAGTAACTTTAAAAATAAACACTGGACATGCCATGGCCCTACCTGGGTGCACCGGCCGAGATATTTTGCAGCCGTCGCAAACTTCCCTTTCCCCCCACCACCCCCAAGCCACGGCACGCACCGACGAACACGGCACACGGCACGGCCATCCGCGCCGCCAAGAAAACACAAACAGAAGGAAACAACGCACGCACACACACACACGCACACACACACACGCACACACACACACGCACACACACACACGCACACACACGCACACGCACACACACGCACACGCACACACACACACGCACACACACGCACACACACACACGCACACACACACACACACACGCACACACACGCACACGCACGCACACGCACGCACACGCACACACACACACGCACACACACACGCACACATACACGTATAAACGCAAGCCACGGGTAGGCAGCGTCACGTTGAAGACCGCACGCACGGCGAGCGCGGCGGCGGTAGGGGCGGCGGCGGCGGCGCCGGAGGGTCGGACGCCGTGCCGGGAATGAAAGACGACCGCTCCGGACCTTCACGGCGGGAATTGGTGGCGGGGACCTCTCGAGACGCCAAGGAAGCAGCGTCGCCTTCCGCCCACGCGAGGCCGATTGGACTCGCTTCCCAGCAACGGGGTCACAAGCCCTCCTTCACCACCCACCACCATCACCCATGCCCTCCCCGTCAACCCCGTGCAACTCCCCCCACTTGACGATTTTGTGGGGGGGGGTTCAGAAGCCTTACCTGGTAAAACAACAAGCTTTAGTCTTAGTCCTGAGTTAAATATTTTTTTTTCCTTTAAAAAAATAATTATGTCTTGCTTCCTTTTCTCGCGCGCCGGTATTTCATTTCTGCGCCGGAGATCTCGCGTTTCTCGCCTGTGCACCAACTGAAGGGCTTTCCTGGATGATTCATCACACATTTATACACACGCACACACACGTATGTATAAATATCCGCGGATTTTCGGTACAAAAAATAATCATATTCCCGATCATTGTAATCCCGATGGTGGTCTCGGCGTCGCCCCGCTGCCGACAGGGGAAGAATCCTTTGGGGTTACTTCGCGAGACTTCGGCGAGAGCGAGGCGGTGGCGCCCACTGAAGTAGATCTCGCAGAGCTACCTCCGAGATTCCCTGCATCAAGTGACGTTAGGTCCGCACAGCAGAGGCACGACGCTTTTCCGCCCAACCACACGTACGGCATATGCAGGGTTTCTCGCATGCCAATCAAACCGGAACTGGAATTTATCCAAAAAAAAGTGCGGACAACAAATAAATATTCAAAAAAAAAAACTAACAGCGGCCGCCAATCGCCACCGAGTGGCGGCGATGTCACACCGCAGCACTTGTGCCAGGCTACGTGTACCTTGTGTTGAACCAAAGATAAAGGTCCTGGCGCAGCACACGAGGAGGTGGGGCTGGCCGGCACCACATTTGGCGTGGGAATCGAACTCGGGTTTCGCCGGGGTTCGCGGCACTGCGGGCGCCAAGCGCTCCACAACCGCCGACCTCCTCCCTCCCTCCCCTCCCTCCCCCCCCCACGTCCGCACGCTACGTCAACTCCACACGCGTCAGTTTTGTTGTTGTCGCGATGATCGCTCCAGGCCACGAAGATCGTCCCGCGGGCCTCGTCGGTAAGGGAATTGATAATTGCCATTTCTTTTTTTTTTTAAACTTACCGACGAGGAACGCTCGCTCGACGCTTGGACAGACTTAGGGGCGCGCGCCGACGGCGGCTGCGGCAGACAGGACGCGGGAGCGAGCGGGGAACAACATGTGGTGCCCCTCCTAATTACCGCCTATGCAAATCCCATCAAAGATGGCTTTGCAACGGTAAACTCGGCAAAACGAATCAAGTGGCTTACCGTCTGGACCACCGAGCCCAGGCACGGGGGAAGGGGCGCGGGGTGAGAGGGGGGGTCACGGGAGGGGGGTCACGGGGGGGGGGCAGATGTTTAGGGCAAGGAACCCATCATCGGTGCCCACCGCTCACCTCAATGCAGGCGGCACTGGGGAGGGACCTCGCCCAGAGATGGGGGGTCGCGGGGAACGCCGTAGTCCCAGGAACTCTCAGCCTACACTACACTACTATACACGAATACACACTACACTACTATACACTACACACGACTACACACTACATTACTACACTACTATACACTACACTACTATACACGAATACACACTACACTACTATACACTACACTACTATACACAGCACTACTACACACTATACACGACTACACACTACATTACTACACTACTACTACACACTACACTACTACATACTATACACTACTAGACACTACGTTACTATACACTACACTACTACACACTACTATACACTACACTACTACACACTACACACGAATATACACTACATTACTATACACGACTATACACTACACACTACTATACACTACATTACTATACACGACTATACACTACATTACTATACACACTACTATACACTACACTACTATACACTACACTACTATATACTATACACGACTATACACTACACTACTATATACTATACACGACTATACACTACATTACTATACACTACACTACTACACACTACACTACTACTACACACTATACACGACTATACACTACTATACACTACACTACTGCACACCTGTTAACCCCTCATCCACGCCTACCTTATTACAGACCAATTCAGACCTTATTGGTCACCCTGTGCCCTTATAAGTATCAACGTTCATCCTACAAAGTCCGTATTGAAACGGCTATATGCCGTATGGACCTAAAAACTCAATTTCCCTGTTCAAGAAAACGGGTTTCAACCGCACCGGGATAGGTGTTATCCTTTCTGGCAATACAGCAGTTGTGTTAAGATGTTAAAACACCGAAGAGAAACCTTTTGCAATGAATCATGTCTGCATTGACCACACATATGGGGGTGGCGTTTTAACATCCGCTACCAGGCAAGGGGCTCCCCCCCCCCCCTCGCGCGCGACTCCACCGCCCGGGTCGGTCAAGGCACTCAGAACCGGTTCAGATATCGCTCCGGCCGCTGGGGTCAGTCCGGGCCGGCCCCGGGCGGGGCGCGCATACACTCACGCCGCATGCGATACGTAGACAATGAAGAAGGGGAAAAGAAGAAGGTGATAATAAAATAATAACAGAAATAAACAGAACAAAATCTAAAACAGGGCTGTGCGATGTCCCTAAGCGGCTGTGACGAGCCACGTGACTACTATCCCAGTCTTGCCAGCGA